ATGTCTTAGATCCTTGCACTGCTGAGAAGGGTTAAGTCTATCAACATAAGTCATCGCACAACCTGGCTGTTATTGTGTAAGACTTTCTCCTGGTTCTGCTACTTTACTCACCATCAGACCATACAAGTCTTTCCAGGTTTTTGTGAAGTCAGCCTGTTCATCATTTCTTATAGCACAATTGTATTCCATTCCATTCATATACCACAATTTACTCAGCCATTCCCCAACTGATGAGCATCCTCTCAATTTCCAATTCTTTGCCACCACAAAAAGAGCTGCTATAAATATTTTTGTACATGTCGGTCCTTTTCCTATTTGTATGATCTCTTTGGGATACAGCCCTAGAAGTGCTATTGCTGGGTCAAAGGGTATGCCCATTTTTGTAGCCCTTTGGGCATAGTTCCAAATTGCTCTCCAAAATGGTTGGATCATTTCACAACTCCACCAACAATGCATTAGTGTTCCAATTTTTCCACATCTTCTCCAACATTTATCATTTTCCTCTTTTGTCTCTTTGGCCAATCTGATAGATGTGATGTGGTACCTCAGAGTTGTTTTGATTTGCATTTTTCTAATCAATAGTGATTTAGAGCTTTTTTTCATATAACTCTAGATGGCTTTAATGTCTTCATCTGAGAACTGCCTGTTCATATTGTTTGACCATTTACAATTGGGGAATGACTTGTATTCTTATAAATTTGACTTAATTCTCTATATATTTTAGAAATGAGGCCCTTATCAGAGACACTGGTTGTAAAATTCTTTGCCAATTTTCTATTTTCCTTCTAATCTTGGTTACATTGGCTTTGTTCGTGCAAAAACTTTTCAATTTAATGTAATCAAAGTTATCCACTTTGCATTTTGCAATGTTCTCTATCTCCTGTTTGGTCATGAAGTCTTCTGTTCTCCATAAATCTGATAGGTAAACTATTCCTTGCTCTCCCAGTTAGCTTACAGTATCAGCCTTTATATCTACATCATGAACCCATTTTGACTTTATTTTGCCATCTGAGTGTGAGATTTTGGTCTATGCCTAGTTTCTGCCATACTGTTTTCCAGTTTTCCCAGCAGCTTTTGTCAAAGAGTGAGTTCTTATCCTAGAAGCTGGGGTCCTTGGGTTTATGAAATAGTATATTTCTATAGTCATTGACTACTGTGTCTTGCACCCTTCACCTATTCCTCTGATCTACCACTCTACTTCTTAGCCAGCACTTGATGACTGCTGCTACAATTTAAGATCTGGAATGGCTAGGCCACCTTCCCCTGAATTTCTTTTCATTAGTTCCCTTGATGTTCTGGACCTTTTGTTCTTCAAGATGAATCTTGTTATTATTTTTTTCTAACTCTGTAAAATATTTTGGTAGTTTGATTAGTATGGCACCGAATAAGTAAATTAGCTTAGGTAGAATTGTCATTTTTATTATATTGGCTCGGCCTACCCGTGAGCAACTGATGTTTTTCCAATTATTTAGATCTGACTTTATTTGTGTGAAAAGTGTTTTGTAATTGTGTTCTTATAGTAACTGGGTTTATTTCAGTAGGTAGACTCCTAAATATTTTGTAATGTCTACGTAACTTAAAACTTTCTATCTCTTGCTATTGGGCTTTGTTGGTTATATATAGAAATGCCGATGATTTGTGTGGTTTTATTTTATGTCCTGCAATTTTACTAAAGTTGTTTATTATTTCAAGTAGCTTTTTACTTGATTCTTTAGGATTCTCTAAGTGTATCATCATATCATCTGCAAAGAGTGATATCTCTGTTTCTTCTTTATTTATTCTAATACCTTCAATTTCTTTTTTTTCTCTTATTGCTAAGGCTAATGTTTCCAGTAAGATAGTGAACAACAGTGGTGATAATGGACATCCTTGTTTCACCCCAAATCTTATTGGAAATGCTTCTAGCTTGGTCCCATTACATATGATGCTGGCTGAAGCTTTTAGGTAGATGCTCTTTATTATTTTAAGGAAGACTGCATTTATTCCTAAGCTCTCTTGTGTTCTTAATAAGAATGGGTGTTTTATTTTGTCAAAAGCTTTTTCTGCATCTATTGAGATGATCATGTGGTTTCTCTTAGTTTTGGTGTTGATATGATCACTTATGTTGATAACTTTCCTAATATTGAACCAGCCCTGCAATCCTTGTATCAATCCTTCCTGGTCATAATATCCTATTCTTGTGATAAGTTGCTGTAATCTATTTGCTAATATTTTATTTAAACTTTTTTTCATCTATATTCATTAGGGAAATTGCTCTATAATTTTCTTTCTCTGTTTTGACTCATCCTGGTTTAGGTATCAGCATCATATTTGTATCATAAAAAGAAATAGGTAAGACTCCTTCATGACATATTTTCCAAAATAGTCTTTATAGTATTGATATTAATTACTCCTCAAATGTTTGATAGAACTCACTTGTAAATCCATCTGGCCCTGGAGATTTTTTCCTAGGGAGTTCATCACTGGCTAGTTCAATTTCTTTTTCTGAGATGGGGTTATTTAAGTATTTTACTTTCTCTTCTAATCTGGGAAATTCTCCATGATATTTAAATTGTTTCTTTCTGACTGCTTGATAGTATTTTCTCTTTGACCTGGTAATTTTTTGAATGTGCCTACTATATTCCTTGACGTTTTCAATTTGGGATCTCTTTCAGGAGGTGATTAGTGGATTTTTTCTATGGTTATTTTACCCTCTAGTTCTAGGATCTCAGGGCAGTTTTCCTTGATGATTTCCTAAAAGATTCTGCCAAGGCTCTTTTTTTCATCATGATTTCAAGGTATACCAATAATTTTTAAATTGTCTCTCCTGGATTGATTTTCCAGGTCAGTTGTTTTTTCCAATGAGGTATTTTACATTTTCATCTATTTTTTTGTACTTTTGTTTCTGTTCTGTTTTCTTGCTCGCTCATAGAGTCATTAGCTTCCATTTGCCCAATTCTAATTTTTAAGAAATTGTTTTCTTCTATTAGATTTGTACCTCCTTCCCCATTTTGCCAATTGTATTTTAGGGACTTGCTTTCTTCATTGTACTTTTTTCTAGTTGGTCAATTGTATTTTTTAAGGATGTGTTTTCTATAGTTAATTTTTGTACTTCCTTTTCCAAGCTATTGACTCTCTCTTGCATACCTCATCTCTTTTCACATTTTTTTCTTCTACCTCTCTCATTTGACTTTTAAAATCCTTCCTGAGCTCTTCTAAGAAGGTTTTTTTGGCTTCAGACCAGTTCATATTCCTTTGTCAGGTTCCAGATGCGGGTTTGTTGACAATGTTGTCCTCTTCAGAATTTCTGCCTTGATCTTCACTCTTCCCATAATAAGAATCTACTGTACATTTCTTTTTGCTAATGATATTTGCTTATTTCTTGGCTTTTAAAGAGACTGAACTCTCCTGCTGGGGAGCAGAGGGCACTAACTCATGCTTCTTGTGTTGGGATCCTAGGGTCTGGTCACTGGCTTTGTGTGCTGGGGCCTCCAATGTTGGCAGTTGGAGACTGCAGGGTTCTGGCAGCTTACCTGGTTTTGGGCTGGAATCAGCAACACTAGAACTCTAGGGGCAGGATTGGGTAGTGTGG